TCAAGATGTTGACGCAGAAACGCATCTTCGGGTGCATCCGTCCCCGAGATTGGTTTGCAACAATCGACCTGAAGGATGCGTACTTTCATGTGTCGATCCCTCCGCGCCGCAGACCATTTCTGCGGTTTGTGTTCAAAGTTCAAGGGCAGGACAGCGGTCCCACTGAAACTATTTCAGAGGCTACAGGGGCATATGGCAGCGGCAGTTACGGTGATGAGACTGCAAGCGCTGCCTAGTCCACGGTATAGCCTCAGAGCCCGTGTTTCCCCAGCAGACTTCTGTGGGTAGTGCTATGACAACAGTGACTGGTCTTCTTGTTGCAAGACCCGGCCTACACCACAAAGGGGCACAGGCGGCTTGCACAGGACACTGGAAGGGGCAGCATCCATGGCGCTTTGTCTTCTCAGCGAAAACCTGGTATGCGTATGCTGGTATTTGCTGCCTTTTTATGCTCACGCTGTGATCAGTGGCAGCTGGATGCAATCATCGCATGCCAATGTGCATTGGCTTGTTTAGTTTACACTCGAAGTGGATTGGTCTCTCTAAGCGAGATCCCAATTCGTCGGTCACCGACGTGACGTCTCCATTCCCTCCTTCAGGGAACGAGGGTTACATACGAAACCGAGACGTTTGTAGTGTTTTTGTATTTACAGAAAATGGTTTAGAAAAATATGTTCTATGGAAAGAAGAATGTTTTATTGAAAGACAAATACATTTTATAGAATACTTATTTAATAAAATAGACCAGATATAATTTATCAGCAATGACAATTATGATAATAATAATTATCAGCTTATCCTATTAGCCAGAATTTTAATATCAATGTATCCTTAATTATTTTTAGCCAAGGCGAGTTTTACTTCTATACGGTAAAGCATTTCACAATAAAAATGGTAGTAATTCAAATTGCTTTACATAAAAAGGAATTTAAAAAAATAAGCATAACAAGTGCATAATAAATAAAAATAGCAATAAAAAGTAAGAAATAAAATGTATACATTTTTTTTGTATTAAATGTATTTCCCTGAAAAGTGAAAACACTATGGCTATTTTTTGAATATTGTTTGTTTGAGATTTGTAGCATCATTTGATCAACAAGTTGTGTGAGTTTAGGCCAGGACTATCTGTTTGGGCAGCCAATGGAAGACAAAGAGATCGATTAGGAAACCTGTTTAAAAAAAAATCATTAATTTTTCAGTTCTTTTTGGAAATGAAACCCTGCAGCTTTAACATCTTGACCCTGTGTTGCTCCTTTCAGGTGGAGTTTGAATGGCTGAGGCAATACTGGTTCCAGGGCCGACGTTACGCTCGATTCTGCAGCTGGTGGACTAAACCCATGGAACAGATGGAGAAAGACTGGAAGGAAATGGAGCGAATGGTAAGAGTGATGGAGTGAACTGTAAGCAGGCCTGCACAGTTTATATATATATATATATATATATATATATAGATAGATAGATATATAGATAGAT